TTTCTGACAGTAAGCTCTCATAGACATGATATTCCTGTGAATAATCAGAAGTAAAACCACTGATGGAACCAAACTCACAGTCAAGTTTGATTCTTTCATACCCTCAACAAACAAGAAAGACATTGGCATTTTTCTACCTTTTTAATGAAAAGCTTGTGAAAGTACATTTTCACTGCTGCCAGCCTAGTCATGTATCCCAGAGTCTTCAATGTGGTTTTGCTGTCTTCATCAACACCCAGGCATCTGCAGCATTGATTTATTAGCTGTGCCCATCCTTGGGAGCCATGCCATTGAGAATGGCAGGTTGTCTTTATTACAGAGGACACCTTCCTTAGGCTCCACACTCACATGCCTTTCCTGTTCTGCAGAAGACTGTTGTTACATTTCTCTTCATAGAGAAAAGCAAGGCACAATTCTTCCCAGGAATATTTCTGGGATTCACATTCTCTGAACATCAGAGAAAGAAACCACAATTCTTATCTTTCTTGCTGTGCCTGTGTTGTGCCAGAGTAGAATGCAATGTGGAGATTATTTACTCAAAGTGAGGAAGTTTTGTTCCCTTGGCCTATCAGGGCCAAGAGTGTGTGTGTTGGGACTGTCATGAGATAGTCACGAGAGAATCAGAGACGAGGGCAGTTCTGTGCAGTTGTGAGCAAGAGTGAGTGCGAGGCAGATTCAGTTTAGATGCAATGTATATAGTGTATAATAAAGTCATTATTTAGCCTTCTAATAAGCTAGATCCTCCTCGTCATTTTCTCTCCCTCACCCACATCGGAGTCACCTTGATTTACAAGAGAAGACCTCATTATCCAAGTGATGAATAGAACTGCTTTGTAATGAAAGTCATGGCATGACATGATTATTTACTAACAGACTGAAATTAAGAAACTTTATTATTAAAAATTCATAGCTGTTTCACTTATGACAGTTTTTGAGAGAGGAGTCAGTGAATAATTTATTTGCCATAAGCATTTAGCTTATCCTTATCTGATGTTTTTGTGCAATATTTGTTCTTGAAATTTTGTGAAAAAAAGCAACAAAAAACAACAACAGAAAAAACCCTCACTCAAATAAAATTACTTTCCTAACCAGAATAAGACTGCCCACTCACTTTCTCCAGTTTTCACTACTAGAGCATATATAGTTCATGCCAGTGGAGTCTGTGCTAGCAGAAGTAGTTGTGAGTCTGTATTTGGAGGCTTTGCTCCCATAAGAATGCAAGTAAAATCCCTAAAGCATGGATTAAGCAAAGAGTTTTATTTTGGGAATAGTTCTTTCTTGACCATTGTGATATTATTGAATTATCATAAAAATATACTGTCAGGGTTTGTTTGGTTTTCTTTTTTCAAAGTGTTTTCCACTTCAGTTGCATTTCTAAATTTCTAGTCGAGATACTTGTTACAGGTGAGGATCTCTCTGAAGTGAAATGTATGCACTGAAATGCTTATTCTGCCTTCCCTAGACCAAGGGTTATCTCATAACACCAAGCAATGACTATTCTGTTCTGAAAAGCACATTTTGTCATTGGCAAGTACAAACCAATGAGTCACGAGCTAGTTTTAAGTCCAGCAAAGATCAGGTGCCAGATGCTCCATCTATGCAGAAGCATGCATCAGTTTTATGTAAGATGTTATTTTCTGAGGTCCCACAGTGGTTGCAAAGAGCTGTGTCATCTTTTCTTCCTTTGGCTAAAATGAGGCAGGCAGGATATTCCATTAATATGAAACTACTGAGGCATTATTGGAGATACGTGCTGAATACTTTCACTGGGTACCTAGCAGAACTGTTTTGTATAAATTACCTGCGTTGTTTTCCATTAAATGTCTTTTGATCAAGAATCTGCCGTGTGTGCAAGATGTGTATTTATCCTGGTCTGCAGAACAATGGACTCATGTCAGTGAGAGACTCTCAGCTCTCACGAGGAAGACAAGCACAGAGATTGCTCTCTAAGCTTGTGAAGCCCCCTTAATGAAAGGCCCTGTATTGTTCCGTGGTTTCCTACTAAATATAAACAGGGGTAGTGTATACATAATTAATCTCATCATTAAGGCTTCCTTAGTATTTTCATAATAGAAAAATGAATTACAATTACCCTTCACATCAAGGTGAGTTCATAATTTGTATGTGTACTAGCAGATTTAAGATCTAAACAAAAAAAAAATAAAATGAAAAGAACCTTGTGGCTATAAAGTACAATGCCAACGTCACAGTAATTTCTGGATGCACATGAAATCTCGTAATAAGAAATTTTCAAAGAAACAGCCATCTGATTTAATATAATTTGGAAACAAGGAACAAACAATTTATACAATTTACTTTGGTGTAACTTTAGGGCATGGGAGCAGGAAAGGACACAGAGAAGTCATCTAATCCATTCTCTGCTCTACCCTTCATCATTCTGGACAGACATTTGTCTACCTTCTCAGTGTGTCCACTGCTTCACTGTACTTTCAGCCTGCACTTCACTTTTAAAGATTTCTTTTCTGATTTAATCTCGCTTCAGTTTAAAATCACTACCACCAGTTCAGATCGGTGTTTTTTTTTTTTTTTTTTTTTGGTGGGCCTTCTCTTTGGGGTGGAGATTTAAGAGTAGAGATGCTGGTTTTATTGAAACCTATTAGGGACAATTAACACACAAGATCAGACAAATCTGTGTTGGAATGAGATAAGGGATACCAATTCCAGATGGAAAAAAAGCAGTTTACTAGAAGGAAGAATTTAAGTAATGGCAGTTTTTCTGTTAGTATGGATTTGAGCAAGTGTCTGTTTTAAATTGTCTTTAGCAATGCTAACAATCAGAAGCTATTTCTCTAAAGCAGGATTTGAGAATTGTCCAATAAATACTGCATGAAACACAATCGCTCCCTATATTCTTGCAGAGAATAGCAATTCTCATCTAGTTATAGAAGCATATCAGTCTTGGTCACAAGAAATACCAGTCAAATTTTTTCTTAACTGTAACTAAGGTAACTAGGGAACAGTTTGGAATGATGAGCCCAGAGGCTGAGCATCAGGCCCTGCCCAAGTGAAGGGTAAAGAAGAGATCGTACTGAAGAACAGCATGACTCATTTCAGAACACAGTAGATCTCTTAAGATCTCTTAAGGCAAAATATATTCAACTTGATATGACAATTTGTGAGTTTTCAAGCATATCTGTACAGTTCCCCTGAAGTTAGTGGAATATACAGACACCAGAGGCAGAAGTGGTTTACCTTTGAGCTTCAAACCTTTGCACCTTTCCAATTACGTATGTTAGCTGGGGCTCTTGTATTTTTTCAGCTTTCCTTAAAAACAACACCATGTACCAAATATTAAGGTAGTAAAGAAAATGCGAGGGGGCATTAGAATATGGTACTTTCAAACACATCAGCAAATACCGGGAACTGTTCCCAGATATGGTCTGAGAACAAAAGTGGCTGATTTGATTTGGAGTTTTCCAAAATATCTGCTTCTTCAGTTTGATGATCCAAATGGAACATTAGAAAAAGAATTATCTCAAATTTGTAGTTTAAGAAAATAACCCTGTTTTTCTAAATAAAAAAGGCATATTTTTTCCTTGTGGTAAGAGAAACATATGAGTGGGAACATCAGTTTTCATATGGACTATTTGGTTACTGTGATTGTGTCACTGTTGACATAACACAGAATTCAACCACTTTGCAGCCCTAAAGTGGCCTTTCTTCTGGAGTACCGTGAGGATTTTTTTTTTTTTTTTCTGTTATTGTGTTGTTGTTTTTGTTGAGTTTTTTTAAGGAACATGGGTAAAGCAGGACTGGCTGTTATTGACACCTCCTGACAGCTGTAGAAATCACCAAGTGCAAGCCTTTGGGTTTGTAAGTTACACCAAGGCTGCACCAGCTGCTACGACAGTTTCTTCCTTGCAGGTGTCAGCTATTCCACAGCACGGCATTTGTCTGTGGCTTGCCAACATAACTTGTGAGGCTGTCAGGATCTGTAGTAACCACCTTCTGTAACAAGAGCATCTATCAACTTGCTGAAAATGCTACCCTGTAAGAAAGAATTAATGATGACATACATCATTTTCTGAAAGCTTATGCAAACCCTCTGAACCACCGCCACCAGCGCACTTGAACGAGCCTCACCCTGCCCTGGGGATGAAGCGGAAGGGATTATAATGCTGTTTTGACATACAGACCAGGGCTTTTTTGGTGCACTTGATTTTATTATTTTTTCCCCAACTCCTTTACACACTGCACCATGTAAGTCAAATGGTTTATTATTTTAGACTTGGAAAAGAAGTCAACTGAGTAGTCTGGAATGCTGGGACCTTGCAGACCTTGGCAAGCAGCTTGCATCAACAGAGTAAGTGTGCTCTTGCATGGAGGCTTCCTCACCCAGAACAATCAGGTTCCCTGGTTGCTGCTTGTGCTCATTGTCCAATTGTGAGAAAAGACAGCCTTTATTCACAGTGCACATTTGAACCTTTGGGAACAGTTAGTGGAAATTTTGTAGAGGTTATATATTTATATGCTTTCCTGAGAGCTGTTGTGATCATTCCAGAGCACTGCAGAATGATGTGATGTAAACACACACAGACTGAGCGACTCAGCTTGTCAAAAACTCATTTAAATATAAATGCATAAAACAGGGAAAAAAACCACCCAAACTGGAATATGTATGTGCTAAAAGCCCTTTTTGTGATTGCTGAATCTATAGCGTTATTGACATTTCACTGTAGCTGAGGGATTACAGAGGAAGAGCTTCCCAGCTTTCCTTAAGTTTAATCCTTGCATGACATGTTTGTTACTAGAATCCCCATGTTACCAGTCTGGATTGGACTTGGTGCTATATTGTGTGTACACTTGCCACAGATGGAAGGTAGAGAATCCTAGGATGAGGTGAAGAGACGCAGTCCCTGTTACTTCAAGTTTCTTCCTTTATAAATTCATTGGTTTTGTGCCTCATTTGGAAATTTTAAAGGCCATAGCAGTTCTACCTTTGTGCCGCATGCTTCAGCTAAGGTGCTTCTGTAGGAAGTTTATTTCGTGCTGCTGGTCTGCAGCGTGCTCTCTTCGTAAGGAGGCACTGGGTCTGGAGAGAGCTCAGTGTGAGCCTCTTCCATGGAAGTCTTCATGGTGGCCTCCTCGTATGACGGAGGCAAACACACGGAGAGGAACGTGGCATCGGGGAGCAGCGTTGAGTAGTGGAAGCTCTGTTCGCTGCTCCAGGGCAGTGCAGAAAGGAAATTGGACACATCGTGCTCAGGCAGGGCCTCAGGAAGGTCGATGCTGAAGATCTGCCCCTGCTGAGTGGGGCGCTGGCAACGGCGGTACAGGAAGAGCAGCAGGAATGCCAGGAAGAGCATCATGGTGGCAGGCAATATGATACACAGGAATGGTTCTATGTCGTCTTTGGTTGAGCTTGACTGTTGTCTGCTCTGTAACCAAAGCAAACAGGAAGGGTGTTGGATTCCTGGAGATCTCTTAATCAGTGAGAAAAACCACATTCCCTATATCTGCCTTGTGACATAGCAGTTGCTTTTCCAAATGTCTTTCTCTCTGTGCCAGTATAAATCAAGCAGTATATTTTGCAGACTCATTAATTCTATTTATGGCCAATTAAAGCAAATTACAACCAGAGACAAAAAACCCCCGAGAAGTTGCAAATATGTTGGATTTTTAGAAAACCCTGTCTCCAATGGGGAAAAAGCCCTAAAAGCCTGGAAGTATATGCAATTTTGTATGGCATTTTATTACTCTTGGATTATAGTGGAACCAGTCAACTTTGCAGGAGACTGGTCGAGCTTTTAAAATTTGGGAGAACATTGAATTGCAGATGAATAAGGCTGATGATCCATCATCTGGTGTTGCTTCTTTGTGTTTGGAAAACTGTTTAAAGAACAAATATTACGACAACTAGCCCTTTCAAACAGGGGCCATTGCCTGCAATACGTGTTCTTTGGGTTGTTCTAACCTCACAGGCCAGTTCCAAATAAAACACAGTGTTTTTATTGGACAGGACAGCTTGGACTGGACCTCTTGAGCTTGCTCTGCCATTGATCCAAGAATAATTTTTTCTTGTTTAGAACTATAGAAAAAGAACTTCTGGCGTAAGAGAAGTAACAGCTGTGACTGCTGTGTCAGCTTTGTTTTCTGCAAAATGTAGCACAAAAGACCTTTGTCCCACAGCTTTTGAATTGTGATGTAACTGAAGGCATAAGCTATAAGAAAAACCAACAAAGCCATTTGTGCTCTTGTGTTGTATTAACTTTAGTTTTAAAATTTAGTATATCTTGTTTCCATCTTCTAATAATTGTGTCTCATTCAGAGTTTAGCCTAGGGCAGAAGGAAAACCCAGATCCTACAATGATGTTTATCAAGTAATTTCCTTTGTAGGCTCTTGACTAATGCTGTGAGGTGGCTTTTTCACATTTGCATGGTGAGACTAAACAGGTCAATGGACCAGATTTCCTTTATTTTGAGTGAAGGTGCCCATTCAGGCTAAGAGAACTTAAGTGATTCTTTCCTCAAAGGATTTGGAAGCAGGGATGCAAACTGGCTGTTTGCAGCAATAGCTTTGTGAAAAGGACAGTAACTCCAATGCCTCCTTTTTAGTCTACAAAAATTTTCTGTTCTTATTCTTCCAGGAATCACAGTCATTCTTCTAGCTACAAAATCACACTGTAATCTACATTCAGCTGGTAATCTACCAGTCATTTGTAACCTCTTCGCTTTGTTGTCATATTATGAAATTATTATTATATGGTCATGCCTGAGAAAAATAAAGTAAATAGGCATAGACTCCTAACAAATTATGTAAGGGGAGGTTACGCTTTTCTATTTTTTCCCTAAGGTATTGTGGGTCTGAAGCTAAATGCATTAAAATAATTTTAAAACACACTGAAATCTTTGCAGATTAGCTATTAAGCTATTTTCCCCCAATGGAATTTTATCCCAAAAAATGCATGTTAAAGAACTATTTTATATTTATTGATACTTTTTATTAAAGAATTTCTGACTGTACAAGCTGTTGTCATATCTGACCATTCAATGAGTGACAGGAAAGAGCAGAATTGGAAGAAATTGTTTCAGCCATTCTTCCAATGCAGATATTAAATAATTTCTTTAAAATGAGGGAAATTTTTTTTGAAGTTCATTAATGATTTTTAGTGTGTCTTATGAGGTGCATGAAACATTTCAAGAGAAAATGAAAAAAAAAGCATTCTGTAGTATTATGTTAGTGCTCTGTGTATATGGGGACTCACTGATACTGATATGTTACTGATACTCTTACAGTAAATATTGAGAAAAGCTGAGCTTATAATGGACAGCATTGCTCCTGGTCAGTGAAGAGCTTATTTTTAAAATCCAAGTCTAAGTTTTGGGTTTAATTTGTAGGGAGCAGGCTTTCATCCAGGTTAAGTGTTGGTCTTAGTATCTGAGTTGTACAGTATTCTGGTGGTTTGTGAGGACAGAGTGTGAGATTGCTAGTGTTTCCTACATGAGTTAGTGTAAGGTATATAAAGCCCCAATTATCATTTAAACTCAGTGCAGCTTCCCTATAAATTTCACTGCAGTGATATTTGCATGTTAAATGATGGCCAAGGACAGTGTATCCTTCATGTGCTGGTGGAAGCACAGGCAAGAGTTAGGGCCGTAAGACAAGGCCTTGTACAAATACTGGACTCCAGAAGGGAAGGAAAGGTTAAGCTTGACGGAAGGAATTATCCAATGGTATTGGATCTCAGGGAAATATACTTTGCTCCAAAGCCTTGATTGGAACCCAGAGGTCTTGGGCCTTGCAGTGAAGAACCTATTAAGAGAAATGTGCAAAATATATTATTGTTGGAGGGCACGGCTCGCATCTAATGGTAAAAAAATGGGAGGAGTGCAACTCTTTGTAGCTAGCTCAGACTCAGATGGCAACGGTCTGTGAAGCAGCCACAAAAGGACACCTTAGGGTACCAGTGGGTTACTGGCCTGAAAAGTCTTCTTGTTTCAAGGCTCTCCAAGAGTAGCCTATAGCACTGCTTCTAAAATTGCAAAATCAAGCTATCAAGCCTGAATGACTGCTAGCATTTTTGAAATCTGTAAAATCCTTAATTTGCTCTGCAACACATATAATTTTTAATTACATTATTGTGCACAAAGTACCTCCTCAAGGTTGTGATAGATTGCTTAGGGAAGGAGATGAACACCCCAATACCTCAGGGTGTTGCAGGGTGTGTAGAGTATGCAGTGACTGAGTCAGAAGACTGTGGGAAGAGAGAGGACTGCCTGCTTGTGTGGTGAAGCAAATGGGGAGCTGTACTCCTGTCTCTGCTACCAAATGCTCTAGCAAAGAGGCAAGACAGATCAGTGGAGGTGTTTCTTGTGGGTTACTCGAGGTTTGAGTGCCTGGGTTGAGACCCTTGGGTATGGTCTGCAGAAATTCTGCATCTCTATCACTGTCTCTGAAGGTGACAAGGCAGTGCCCTGAACCTGCAAGTACTTTATTGCACTGTGGGATCTGATCAAAAATTGCAATGTTATTACAAAGCAGCCCATATTCTCTTGTGCTGCCTGAACTGGTCAGGTGGTTGGAATAGATTTTCACTGCAGATCCCTTCCAACTGAACTACTACTATTTTATCCTATTCTATTTCAAAATAACCACAGTAACCTGTGCCTGGTGGCTACCTATTCAGTAATGTGTGCAAAAGAAGACATAATAAATTAGTTTAGTTTGTTCTTTTGTTTCACAACTACTGTATAGTTGTTGAAGAACAGTAAGTGTGTTTTACTATGATCTGCAAATTAGTGGCATGTAAAGCAGATAGGATTAAGAATTAAGCAATATTATAGAACTACAAAATATGCTGAGTTAGAGGGAACTCATCAGGATCATTGAGTCCAACTCCTGGCCCTGTGCAGGACACCCCAAGAGCCACACCATGTGCCTTCGAGCATTGTCCAAATGATTTTTGAACTCTGTCAGGCTTGGTGCTGTGACCACTGCCCTGGGGAGCCTGTTCCAGTGCCCAACCACCCTCTGAGTGAAAAAATGTTTTCCTCATATCAAACCTAAACCTCCCCTGACTCAGCTTCATGCTTTTTCTGTATGCTAACAGGTGTCAATAAAGACTGATTTTCCTCAGACTGTGTTTCAGAGTGCTCATAGCTGTTTAAACACAGCTAATTTTAAGACTTTCCTATCTGGGTGAAGTAATTTGTAGGCTACTTAGTGTATTATTTGAGCTGAAATAGGTTTTTATAACTACTGCCCCACAGATGCCCTGAACCTGAACAGGGAGTTATGTATCCATTTTGATGCTGCCTCCTGCCAAACATTACATGGACTGGATTTACTTTGAGATGCAGTTCCAAAAGGATGATGGTGGACTTCTTGTACATATATCAGTATAAATATATCAAATTTTTTAGGAGAGAATCAATCAATATTAGTCCCTCTTTTTCTATTGTGGTTCTGTTTCCATTTCTGCAATGATTGCCTAAACGGCTACTGAAGAATGTTGCGAAGATCTTGACATAAATACTTGGAAAATCTAATAGGCATTTAAAAAATTACACTAAAAATAAGAATAATTTTAATACAATGAATCAAAGGTCACTTAAAAAATTCTGAAATTCTAAACTAAAACTAGTTCTAAACTGACCTAAAACTAACTTCTGCAGCTGAAGCTCTAAAACTAGAAATGTAACCACTGTGTACAGGTATGATGAATAGCTGCCAGACTGGAAAATAAAATTTTCTAGAAATCAAACTCAATTTTCATTAATTGAAACTGATACAACTGCAGAACATATTTAAGGTAAAATACTCTACTTTTTACATCTGAAATGTTTTAAAGTATGCTTTACATCTGAAAGTTTCCACACCAGGCATGTGTAGTGACTGGTTTGTTTGTTGCTGCTTCATTGGAGATCAGCGTGCTCTGCCTGTGTCATCACAAGCATCTATTGTCAGGTTTGTAAGTGACAAAAATAAGGATCTGGCTTCCAGCATGAAATAAGTTACAGACACATAAATACGGGGAAATATCCATTTTAAAATAGAGAAAGGCAGAAAAGAGCATGGAAGTAAAAGGGATCATATTTCTAAAAAGTCCTGTTTTCCCAGGACTGATTCTTAGTAGGATAGTTTGGACATTGTTTATTCTCCTCCCTTCATTTATATATTTGTAGGGACTGAAGCAGAGGGTCCGTTTCCCCCAGCCACTGAGCACATACTGGAAGGAGTAAAGCCTTTCCTTAGTAATCTGTCTGCCTATGTTTTTTTAACATGCTGAGCATGTACAGTTGCCAGCTTACAGATTATGTGACCCATATCAGTTAAGATGAGCTTTTACTCGTGCCTGTTGGTGAAGGAATGAAAGGCAGTGTGGCTGAGTTGTGTGGAATATCCACGATGAGTAAAGGAATGGGCTTGGAGCTGAGCTCTGTGTCCAGACAAACGAGGGGTAGTACCTGCCTTGGGAGGGAATCGCCTCATAAGGCAAAACATGAGGTTAAGGGAAGCTTTTGTGTGAGGATAGAAAAATGAAAGTTTATTTTGCTTTCTGAAATTCCCATTGAAGTGATTGAGTTTTGCTAAGATTTATTATGCTCTTAAAGATTTGCTAGCATACTTAGAACTCCATTAAAATTATTTTTGCTAATATAGTCAGTATTTATACCAATATCTTTTGAAGTTGAGTCAGGAAACCGATACTTCTGAAATGTTTTAAGTGGATTTGGAACAAAGTCTGCTTTGAAGTCATTAGGGTGTGGTCCCCCTATAGGTTATTTTCCAAGCTCTATCCTGCTTCTTGAAGATGATTCATGACTGCTTGTAAAAAGCAAAAACATGTAACTCTGGCAAACAGAAAAACATTTTTGTGTGGTTTTGTGTCCATTAGTAATGACACGCAATTAGAAGTGAGCCTGGATTTACACAGAATTTTCAAATACTTGTTGGAATGTGACTCTAGTGATGCTGTTTGTTTCTCACTGTCAGATAAAAGCAGTCTTGAGGTGTGAAGACATTGCCATTGCTATTCTAACTCTGGAAATGTTACCAGTGGGGCAGACTTTGTTAAAATTGTGGCAACATTTGAATACTACTTTTTGTCCTGTTTTGACACTCACACACGCTCCTACCCCCATTTATTTTGCAACAGTACACTCCATCTATATCAGCTGAGTAGCGTGGCCAGTTCATTTGCTAACGCAACATGCTTCGGACATTTACTGAGGAGCTACGTGCACCTTAAATTATTATTTTGGATCAGAGAAACCCTTTCGCTGTATCCCAGACAAAGCCAGAAAGCAGGCTGTGTTTTCATCTCTGGGGGCGACTTCCCTCCCCCCGCCGGGCTGCGTGTGATCCTCTCTGGCAGAAGTAATCAGCGCACAGCTTAGGGAACAAGAGTTCATCGCTGCCCGCCGCTGACTCGCAACATCTGCAGAAAGGCTTCACGGGACAGCTGCAACGCGTAAACACGCTTTAACAGAAAGGAAATCAATGATGCCTTATGCTTAAAAGAAGTAATTAAACTTCCTTACCTGCCACCCCAGCAAAATTTTTCCACCTAATGTTTTTCTCTTCCACAAATGTGTTTAAAAAGACTTAACAGCAATAAAGAAATGCTCAGACTCCATGTAATTGATCAGTACTGCTTTGATACATCCCAATACCCAGGGATTTACTCTGTGCTGTACACTGAGGCGTTACACAGACATACACACACATGCAAAGTCAAAGGACATGCCACAGAGATGAGCAGGGGGGTACAGACCTGAAGCTCTGTTTCCAGAAGTGGCCCACCTGGTTCACTGTTTAGCCAGTCATAGTTTCCCCTGTCAGCATGTCCAAAATTTTTCAAGCTGCTGCCCAAGAGCCACCTCATGCTTTCATTAACCTGGTCTTCTGTCTTCGTGCCTCCACCTTGTTTCGCTGCTTGCAACTGCGTCTCCGCCTCCCAGCCCTGACCCAGCCAGGCTGCTGGCAGCTAATGATCCCTCTCAAACGACATCCCTTCACAGCAGAAAAGAAAAAAAAGAAGTTAGACACCCCCTCGTCGTCAGGAAGCCAAGCAAATAGATCTCAGAGCCTCTCTCCACTTCCAACTCAATCTCTCTGGATTTGCTTCGGTGGCCTACATTACCAGCAAAGCTGGCATCAGGTATCTGGGAGCTGGGGCTGATAGCGCTCTGATTGGAGCACTCCCTGCATTAGGATTATTAAAAGGGGAATTTGCATGTGAATCTAAGCCCACATGGTCATGACTCCATGTGGATAAATAACGCTCTATATTTAGTTATCTAATAAACACTATTTCCAACAAAATAAAAGAAATAAACCCCATGCTTCTATGTTGAGAGTGAAAGGGTACCTGAGGTTCCCCCCTCAGTTACACAGCACAAGGTGGAACCACAATCCAGGCAGGTTTTTGTTCCCTGTTGCTGAAACATACAGAAAAGAAAAGAGTTTTCTGAGTAGAGAGGCAAGGACACAAGGCTAAATGCTGTACTGAATTATTTAGCAGTGTTAGGATCTAGATGTTAATGATAAATCCAGAGAGAGAGCTCTGCCAGGAAAGCTTTGGTCACTGTGGGAGTGTATGATTGCTTCTGGTAAGAACGAGTTGTCAGCTCAGTTAAATCAGGTTAACAGCTTTCGAGGCTACTCGTTAAATGGCATTTGTTTCCAGTGAGAAGACTCTTGTTTATCCACAAAAAGAAACATGAACTTATTCCATTGATGTGTGGTAACTTCTGAAGAGAGGGCTCTTTAACCTGAGTTAAACCTTGATTCAATCTGCAGCTTGTGCTGCAAAGCTGCCGGTGTCTTTGCTGCCTTGCTGAGGACAGAGGGAAAGGCTAAATGTCTCTTTCAACTCTGCAACTGTTCAGCTGCGGTGCACTCTTTATGATTTCTCAAGGCTTATCTGTCCGAGCAAAAGTTTAGGACCATTGATAGAAATTGGGGTTATAATTTTAACCTCTTATTTCCCGCTTGGACTTTTTTTTCATCAACTCTTCTTTTAGTTCATGGCTCCCAGAAAACTGCAGGTGTAGGTGGCACTGGCACGCCCTACTGCAGCTCCAGCAGTGGCAGCCAGCACTTGCCATTTCTGGCGGGAGAGCCCTGCAAGAACCTGTTCCAAAACTGGTTGTGATCCCTGTGTCTGCAGCTTGCAGGAAGAGCCACGGCTGGGGGAAAGAGAGGAGGTAGCTTGATAAATCTAACCCGTTTTGTTACTGAATTTGCCAGGTGAGCAGCGCACAGGGAACAGCAATATTGCATGAAGGGCTGGTCTTGCTGCTGAAGCAGCCACATCTCTGTTGGAAACTGAACTCTTGCTTCTGCTGAGGCGGTCCTGTGCGAAGCTGGAAATCTCACCTCAGCAAAGCCTTTGCATGCTTCTCCTTGAGGAAGGCTCCTCCTTTCCTCAATGCCTCACTCGCTGGAAAGCACTTTCAGAGGTGGTGAGTGTGTCCAGCCACCAGGACCAGGATGGTTACACTGTGACTTAAAATGTCCACTGAGAAGCCAGGTCCTAAACATGGATTAACGGGTCACAGGTCAAAATAGTAAAATATTTCTCTTGATGTCTCAACACTTTGTAAAAAAGCAAGAATAATGACCATCTTTCCCAAACCACTGTTAATAAAATTAATTCCTTAAGGAGCCTTGAGACTGTGTAGCTTAAATCTATAATCTCACACGCAAGCAGGAAACATTCATATACCATCTTAATTAGGGTCTTAGTGCAGCCCCTAAGATTATTAATGCTATTTTTAAATGCCTGCTGTAAATTTGCCTTGGGACTATGCATGAATAATGGGAAGAGGTAAAAAAATATGTCCCCTTATAATATAAACACCTGTTTGGCATCCTTAGATTCTAATTGATGAATTTTAGCCAAGAAAAATAAGGTGTGTACTTTTATGACTCACTGACCTGATTTGTCAAGTGCTGCTTTGAATACTTGACCTCAGGAAAATGTATAAGAATGATTTAACTTTGTAGAGCTGAGGCCGAATGGGAATTTGGGGAAATGCAGTGCCTTTTGTCAGGCAGGTAATTAGACTATAAAGTAATGATTGTCCCTCTGGCTTTTTATATCATCAGTGGAGCCAGCAGCAAGATTAGTGAATGTGATTGGGATACTCTTTCTGCTGCCAGGGGTCAGGTGTCCATTTGCTGCACTGCCTTTGTAGAGCAGATCTGCTCTTGTGCAGACCTGAAACAGAGCCATTCAAGACTGGCTTTGTGATGGCAAATCTGTTGCAGATTGCTGCCAGCCCTGTGGGGCTCACAGACACTTATTTTTCCTTCTCACACGGTGTTCATAAACACCATTGTAGCTTGAGGCATGCTGTAATGTGAAAGCTGGGGCAAAGAAGCTCATCCTTAATTCCAAGCCCTTGGCCAGGTGTCAGGCTTGCCACTTTGAAGTGTGGGTTGGATTCAGAGATCACCAGATCTTGACATGGACAAAATGTCCTACCCTCCTCCTCCACTGACTTTGTTCTTTGAAATAGTTTGATCTGGAAGTTGCCAGGTCAAACAATCTGGAGAAAATAGCTGACATGGAATTTTACCACTGACTTTGATTAAAGTTTGGTAAAGGCTTGTGAAACAATGGCAACATGATGTTTTTAACTGAGGCAATGGTGGTACTATGATTTCCAGTGCCCTAGCAGAGAAGCAGGGAGAGACTTTCTGAAAAAGCCACTGCAGAAAATAGGCGCCCACTGTCCTCAGTCTGAAGCTCAAACTGTGTCATAAATTATTCATGTGTGTGATTTGCTGAGATGTTTGAGGCTTGCAGTGTAATTCTAGGCTATATTGCCACCAATATTGGCAGGAAACACGATATCCACAGTGCCTTAGACAACCTTTCAAGTTTCTTGATATTTTCTTTCCCCAGTTTCTTTTACTGCTGCCCACAGGTGGTGGCGAAACTTCCCTGCTTGGGACTGTGATGCTGTGAGGGATGGTATAAGGGTTAATATGAACAATGAAAAATTAGAATTTTAGTGGGTGAGGTGTACCACTGTTAACAGTCCTGTGCTGGCAGGTGTAGATTCACCAGAAGAAATCTGGATTACTTTTGCCTGTAACCAGCTGGCAGGTGCTTCTGTGTCCTTCAGGTGAGAGTGATGTTAGTTTCTGTCCATTCCCTTCTCACTAGGGTAATTAAGCAATTCTGTTTTGTACATTTTTTGATAAATTTTCATTATATTAAGATTTCAGCTTTTCTTTTTTTTACTTTTTTTTTTTTTTTTTTTTTTTTTTTTGTTAATTATCAATACTTTTTTTTCCCTTTTTTCTGAAACAAAGCACCTTCTGAAGAGCGTTCTCCTCTCCCCACCAAACTAAACCCACTGTTACTTCAAAGGATAGACAGAAGCTGGCATAGCTCTGCCACAGTTCTGGAGAGCAGTGTTTGAGGACAGGGTGGACATACTCACAGTTTGTAAAAACAGGGGCAGGGAGACTGTGCTGCAAAATATGTGCACACTGTCACTGTCCCTCGGAGCAGGGAGCAGCAGGAGGTACTGCTGAGGTGTTGATCCCAGGTCCCCGTGCTGCAGATGGATGCAGGCTGCTCCTGCAGAATGTCCCTCGAAGTTCTGTGAGTGAGATAACACCTGAAAAGCTCTGTGGTCATGGCAGAATGTTGGTGGCTGAGCAGTATCCATCTGATGGATATATCTGATATATCGGATGGATAGCTCTGTCTAGAGCTATGGGGTTTTTTTAGGTACTTTTTTTATAATTTCTGTCAATCTAGGTTTGACCCCCTTCATGTACATTTCATCCTTACCCTGAATTCTTGTTTTCTCTTATTTAAGAGAAAAATCTGCCACTCTGTTTAAGAGTGCATATCTGCCAGCACACACTGTATGACCCTTCATTCCTATTTAGCCAAAATATAGCAACTGTTTGCTTTAGTGGGAAGGAAGTGGGGAGGGGTTGTTGTTGTGGTTGGGTTTTTGGTGATTTGGGCTTTTTTCAGCATTTCTGAAGGATCAGCTGACCACATTATGCTTTGGGTTGCATTTGCTTTTAGAAGTGTTGCCATAAGCTTAATGAGAAATTAAGCATTTTGCTACTTTATAAGGATGATATTCTAAAAAGAAATAATTTGGTGTGGTGTGGTTGCAGTCAGGTCGAGCTCCACTCTCCCTTTTGCACACTTTCATTATTAATATTGTCGATTTTCTTATCTCATTGCTGTTTCTAGTAAATAGTTCTTATCTCAAGCCATGATCTTTGCCTCTTGTGGCTCCAATTCTCCTCTCAAATCCTCTGAGAGGGAAGAAGGGGAAAAGGGGGTGGGTCAGGAAATGGTGTGTAGTTTGGAGTTTCAGTGGGAAACACTAAACTGGGGAGTACCATTCCTAAACCATTACAGCAATATAAGGAAATAAACTTCTAAGGAGAAATGTGAATGTGTGGTTAACCTTCAGGTGAGCTTTTAAAAGTAAACTTTTAAGATTTATCTCATTGTTCATTGTATTTGTTGTTGACCTTGTGTAGTGCTGGGCAGGCCTTAGATATGGAACTCTCAACATATCTACTGCCTTGTGTTCAATTTTTGGTTCAAACTGATGCAATTTTCTGCTAGAATATAGTGAATGCCTGAATGAAGTCTCTTGAGACTGTATCCAAGTACAGCAGTCTCTGTGTCACTACTTGTTGTTAACACAGTAGATTTTATGCAAAAGAACAATCATATATTTATATAACTTGATTTGGTTGGTATCATCTGCTGCCAAAAATCTATTTTCTCTAGATTTCAAAGGAATTATTCTTTCTGACATTGTTGCTTAGAACCCCTGTCAGGAGAGCACTGTTGGAGAAACAATAGCTCTTCTAGCTTCTAAAACTAGC